CTGCCCTTACCCTCTGCATTTTGCTGACATTGTGAGACTCTCGGAAACGGGCTGATGAATGTAGCACAGAACATGGCTCTTGGTGGGTTTCCTTTCAATGAGGAGTTTTCGTGTGAACTTTTCATTGTTTTGCATTACCCAGAGCACAAGCGCAAGGGCTTCTATTGGCAGAGGAAACAAATTGGCACAGTTCTGCTTTTTCTTTTTTTTAATCTGCACCAAGATCAAGGGCAAGGGCTTCATTTTCCAGCACTAGTCATAAGCCTTTAGCACAAATAGAATGAAAATTGTCTGTCGCTCAGGCACTTGGACAGGGTTCAGGAAAACTATGTCTGGCGCTAATTCCAAAGGGAAGGTTTGGTTCAATCCAGCATCATTAATTTCAGTAAACTGTTTTCACTAGTCTATATCCCACTGTTCAAACAGCTGTTTATTATCTTTTACTAAATTATATCTTTTGGAATAGAGAGTAATGAAAATTCCTTATATGACTTACATACATATGTATAGTCTCACATGTATGTATACACATAAATAGATACAGTATACATGGATGCACTCACATTTTTTTACTTTCCTGGTTTTTCTCAACAAATGCTTGTTTCTTACCTTGCCTTCCTGTTACTAAATAAATTTCTAAAGCCAAATAAAAAAGAGTAAAAATAGCCCAGAAGGCAAAAAAGAGAGAGAGATATGAAAAAAAACCTGGAGCAAAGACAATCTCCACAAATTTGTGAGTTTCACCACAAAACAAGGAAATGCAGAGCCTCTTTTTCAGCTTGCAGCTATCTTTGGCTGCTGCTTGAAGACTTGACTTAATTCACCCAGGCAGTAGCGTCTAAAAGTAATACAGCAAAACAGTTAATTTTGGCACTTAGTCTCCCTTAGGAATTTTACCAACAGTCTTTGAAAAGCACGTAAATGATCCTTTTTTTCCCCTCAGTTTCCCCCCATAGCTCATCTTGATATGTGCTCATAAAAGAAACTGCCTCCTCCCCCCCGTTTCTATTCTCGCCCTCATCCAGTGTCCATATCATCCTTCTTTCAATAACAATGTTAATCAGCATTTATTACATGGCCTTGGAGAAAAAGTAGTTTAGTTTTTTTCAGAAGGCCTCATGACAGAGGAAAAGGAAGTTATGCCATGTGAAATAACTTAAGATTGTGCAGCTTCTTTTCCTTTTCCCCTCCCTCCCTCCCCCCCCTTCCCTTCCCTTCCCTTCCCTTCCCTTCCCTTCCCTTCCCTTCCCTTCCCTTCCCTTACCTTCCCTTACCTTACCTTCCCTTCCCTTCCCTTCCCTTCCCTTCCCCCTTCCCCCCTTCCTTTCTTTCTTCCTTCCCTTCCTTTTCTTTCTTCCTTCCTTCCCTTCCTTTCCTTTGTTCCTTCTCTTCCTTTCTTCCTTTTTATCCTTTCCTTCTTTTACTTTTCCTTCTTTCTTTCTTAGCTGCCCACCTCCTTCCCAGCTCTTCCATTTTTTGGAAAACACAGTGAAGTTTTGTTCAGTTCTCAAGTGTTATTAATCACTGGTGGAGGCCAAAAGCAGGGATATTTTTCTTGGCAGCACATTTTGATAAACAATCTGTGTATGGGGTGAAGGGAGGGGGGAGCCTGTCTTTCTGGTAACTAAGCTAATGTTTGGCAGATTCTTAACTGTCATGAAAGTGCAAGTGGCTCTCAGTGGGAATAGCCTTAAAAAAAAGTACCGATTCAGTTGATTCATTATTGTTGATTGTTTACTATGTCCACAGGATGTAAGATGAAAACAGTCCAGGGATAAAGTAAAAATAACAACGGTGGAAGACCCACCCTCTGCATATCCCAGCCTAGAACATGCTACCTAGTCGCTAGCCCCTTGTGAAGGGAGCAGAATTAATTACAGGTGTCTTATTTTGCACTGTGAGATTTGGCAAAGGTTAACGTGTGGAAATCTGGGCTCGCGGGTGGGTTTAAAAGCATAAAGACAGCTGTAGCAAAATTGATTTGGGGTGGGTCTCCAAGAGGATGCTTAACTGCTTTCCAGGGCCAAAGAGAGAGGTTGGGCTGCAGAGTGCCCCTGGGTGGACACATGGGGTGGTGGTGGCCTGGCTTCATCAGCGGCTGGGCTGTGGGCAGGGCAGCCTCCCACCCTCCGGTCTGTGCCCTGGGGTCCCCTCTCCGGCAGCAGTGTGGAAATGGGACTGGGAAAACCACAGGACACAACAGGCAACATCCCTTAAGAAATGGGTCCGCACTGCAGATCAAGGAGAGAGAAAAAAGGAAGGAAGAAAAGAGGGCAGAGTTCCTAGATGGTAAAGCAATAAGGCTCTGCAAGTCAGCAAGGCTCACTACCTGAAGAATGGTAGGAAAAACAGAATTATGATGAGATGAGAATTGAAATGATAAACAGAAACACGTACTTACACTCCTATTCTTTGTACCTAGGTGTTTTGACACTTCCTGGCAGCTCCTAGTAGAAGAAAATAGTGTTTAACTTTTAATTTGACAAAATGATGCAACTCCTTACTGAAGTGTTTTGTGTTTTGATTTGCTGAACACACTCCCTTTACCACCAAGTGCTCTGTTCACTGCTGATCTCTGTGTTGAAGCTAGTGATTTGATTGTGATAGATTCTATTTTATTTGGTATACTGAGGTAAATCCATGTAAATCACACTCTTGGGAGTGCACTTCCCTTCTGGTTCTTGTATTTTTTTTTTCCAGTTATATCTGCTGCTTTGACTGCTGAGAAAAAAGCCATTTCTGTAGGTGAGTGCCTGCAGAAGAACCAGCTGACGGGACTGCTGCACTGATCAGTACTGAAACTTCTTAGAGTGAGCGAGAAAGAGTTAAGCATATTCCCAGGCTGTTAGCATGTAAAGCCAGACCAGACCATTAGTTCCCAAGCTGCTGAGATCATGGGATCCTAATTATTACTGCTTGCAAACTTTGGGGCTGTCCTATATTTCACATAATTAACACGGGACTACTGATCAATCAGTACTCCAGTATCAACAGTACTCCACCTGCATCCAGATCAACAGTAATCTTGTATTTGGGGAGATCAGGCATGGGAATGGCACAGAGCAAAGCCTGACAGACCTGGGGTATAGCCAGGCACCTGGGTTTTGTCGCTTACTCCTTCACAGTGTGTTGTACCCTTTGCTTCCCATAGCTGCTGGTGGCACTAAGAAGGGTGCTGGCCACCCCCTGCATGCTGTGTTCAGTATGATTGTTTTGACTCCTTTGTTTAAATTAGAGCTTCACCTGCTGTTTTAATGTAGCACAGATGTGTATATGCCTGTGTGTGCTTGTGTACTTCCAAATAAAGAAGGCAACAGGAATAAAGGAAAAGGGATTATCAGATGGCAGTATTTATCCTAGCGCTGAAAGGAAGGAGTTAGTGTATTTCACTTCTGATAGTGAAAATTATATTCCTTGTCCCTTGGGGCTACTGGCAGGTTGTAAACTTGGGGCAATCTCCACCGAATCCCTAATGCTGTATCTAAAGTGCTGACTCGTGTTCCTGTGCAAAAAAGCAGTAGCCGGGTAGCAATTGCTTGCAGCTCCGTCCCTCCTTGTGCGCCCCTCCATCCTCTTATTAAACAAGCCACTGTCTGAGGGGGCTCCTACGCTATTTTCTGTTTGCTCGCTTCTTTCTTTCAGTTAGCCAGATCAGGCACCTGAATGGCTTCATTGTTTGGGATTCCTCTTTTCCTTCTCCAAAAGTAATTTTAATTCCTGGATTATTTCACAGCTAAATAAACACAAGACATGTTTAGTATAAATCCAGCAAGAGCGATCTGGATTGCTCCTGCCCTGCCATTGACATGGCGAAGGAGAGGAAAGGCGGAAGTGAGCAGGAAAGCCCGCTGCTACCCTCTCAGGGACAGTGCTGCCATAGACGGGAGCTTTGTGACATTGCCACTGTTCAATCTATTTTCCCCTACCAGATTAGATTGATACTGACAACTCGTTCCCTGTGAAGGTGCCACAGTGTGGCATTTATTTGCATTTACATTGCAGTTCTCTTCATCAGTCAGCTTTGCAGAGATCACCACTGCTGCTGGCCATATTGTTGCTATGCTGACACTTCATCCTTAAGTGCTGTTTGCGTAACGGTACAGTACGTGCCCATGGCCCAAGTTTAAATCAAAGTTTAACATTACAGAAAAAAAAACAAACATATTTCCACAACTGTGTATCCTGCAAGTAAAAGCAAAGGCAGTTTGGTTGGGTCACAGATGCTAATCTCTTCTCTTTTTCTGTTCACAAACTATAAAGGGAGTTGACAGCACCTGTAAATGGTTTTCTGAGACTAGATTATATCTAAGGTGGTTATTATTTACACCCACTATAAAGGCTGCTCTTGTGAGCCAAGAAGTCTGTTAATGTGAGGTGACTGTTACCAAAAAAGGGCTTTCTTGCAGGAGGATTCAGTGGAACAAGGAGCCAGGGTGAGGGGTGGTTCAAGCACACAGAGTGCCTTGTCATGTTGTTGGGTTTGTATAACCCGGGGACTGAAATGCAGTCGGGATATGCTGCAGACCTGAATTCCCAGACACTCGGGATGAAGGGGAAAACCTCAGCTCTCAATTTTTTTAGCAGGGGCTGACCTCTTCCCACAGCCCAGTTCTGCTGCTCCTATGAAGATCAGCATGGGGCAATAAAAGGATAGGAAAGGAGGTGACCTTCCAATATGAATCAGAGTGAACACACGCTTGTTTAGTCAAGTAAAGTCATATTAAAGTAGAAATCCTGCAGCCATCACTAAATCGCTGTGGCTGGAAGCAAAGACTTTCACTTTGACCAACTTTCATGTGCCTTAGTGGAAGCCTGCTTCTATGAAGCCTCTCTAATGGCCACGGTTTAGGTGTGAAATTTCTAAGTGTGAAATCCACTCTCCTTCGGTGCATCTTCTTCAGCCAATTTGCATATAGGAGAGTCACATAACTTGAAGACTTTTCTATCTCTACTCGCTGCTTTGACAAGCTTTCCATGGAAAAAAAGTCCCTTTGTCCGAATTTATTTTGTTACTGGATTTTATTTGGTCCTACCATTTCTGTAACTTCAGCATATGCATTTCCTTAAGCCTTCCCTGTAAAATAATTCCACTCACATCCATATCAAATTCGTTTGTCAGTTTAACAAATTATAACCAGGCCATATAAAACGTTTTAGACAACTAAAAATGGAAATGAGATGCAGTGGCGATAAGAAACGAATTATTTAAAGCAACAACTTTCTGTCGTGTGAGTTTTGAAGCGAATGGAAGGTATCTTTCCTGCTCGGTGCCGCATCGCTGCTAGCGTTGGGTGTGCTCAAGGGAGCCGTGGCACCGCGCCACAGAACCCCCTACTCCCTTTTAAGCGCGGAGGGAAACCTGGAATGGACTAGGATTTCGGCGTTTCTAGCAACAAAGGAATCAGGAAGAGGGGCTGAACAAGACATCCGCCAGACGCAGCCAGCCCGGCGGAGGCTCCGCACTCCGGAAGCGGGCGAGTCTGCCCCGCCGCGGGCACCGTGCGCCCGGGAGCGGCCCGGGGACGCGGCGCCGGTGGCCGCTCGCAGCGCAGCACGGCGGGTCCCCACCGGACCGCGTCCCCGCGGTGGGAGGTTATTGTTCTTCGGACGAGGACGGCGATGTCGGTGTTTGCAAAAGCAGCCACAGAGTGCAGCGAGAGTACGAGCGGGCTGTGCGGAGCCCGTCCCGCCAGGCAGGGCACCGGCGGGGAGAAGGCACCCTCGGGAGAAGGCAGGCTGCCGAGTTTTGCTTTCCTCCCAGTGAAATGCATTCTCGGCTTATTTGCATTGAGCCGAAGTTCCTTTGAGTAATTTGCCTGTTAGCAGTGTTATGCAAATGTCAGCAAGCTAGAGAAGGGTAAATAGATAAAAAGCAGCCGTGCGTTCCCTCTCCCAGCGCCGGGAAAACCCTGTGTCCCTGTGCATGAGCGAGGTGAGATCACAGCGGTTACTCACCTGCCCGGCCGCTCCTACCCCCCGAGCAGCGCACAGCGCTGTCTTTCCCAGCCCAACCTGAAGCACTCGGCAAACATGGCCGATTTAAACAAATCAAAAGTGGAAGAGCTTCTGATGCAGTCACGGGCTCACAGAAACTGTGTCATTCTGTCACCGGGATCACTGAAAGAGAAACACGAAATCGGATATTGAGGCGGGATCCCACCCCACCCCCTCCCCGTTTGCCTCAGCAGCCGTGGCGCGCGGGAATCCCACCGTCAGCCTCGGCGGCAGGGGCAGAGCGGGGACAGAGAAGCGAGGCCGCGGGGCTGCGGCGTCCCGAACCGAGACACCCGGCTCGGGAGCAAGCCCCGCGCACACGGGCGCGCGCAGGGGAGGAGAGGAGGGGGCCAGGGCGCGCGCTGCATTCAGGTTTCCAAACATAGCCGGCAGCGCGGGCTGCCCGCGCGCCCCAGCTGCCGCCGGGCATGCGCGCGCCGCGCAACAAGTGGGCTCCGCGCCGGCGGCGTGGGGGAGGGGAGCGGCGAGCGGGCGCTCGGCGGTGACGCGGCGCCCCGCCCGGGCGCAGCCGAGCCGGGAGCGCGGCGCGGAGGAGGGGAGGGGAGGGGAGGGGCGGCGCGGGGGGAGCGCGGCGCGGCGGAGGGGGCGCGCAGGCACACGCGGCGGCGCGCAGCACCCCGCGCTCGGACTGCGAGCCGCGGCGAGGATGTGAGTGAGGAGCAGGCGGCGCCGCTTGGCACGCTGCTGCCGCCACCGCTGCCACCTCCGGCGGGACCGGACAGCGCCGTGCGGGTACCCCTCTTTCGCTCGCGGCAGTGGATCAGCGCGTAGCGAAGTGCGAGCTCGCGAGGCAGCCACGGCGGGTGGAAGGTGACCCCCCCCCCCCATCTTCCTCCGTGCACCTCCGCCTCCTCCCGGAGGAGGAGCAGCAGCAGCGGAGAGCTAGAGAGCGCAGGGAAACAGAAGCGGCTAGAAGGCGACCCCCACCCAGCCCCCCGGAGGAGCGGTAGAAGTGGTTCCCACCCCACCGGGGAAGCAGCGGCAGGACCAGGTAGAAGAAGCCCTCTCCGGCAGCAGGAGAGAACTAAAAGCAGACGATCCCCCTGCTACAAGGGGCGACAGGATCAGGTACGGAGAGCCACCTCCCTTGCAGCCCGGGGGGGAAGACGGAGCCAGCCCCGACCCCGGCGGCAGCGGCAGCAGCTCCCCGGCCAGCAGCACCATGTCCGCCGCGCAGGTGTCGTCGTCCCGGAGGCAGTCTTGCTACCTGTGCGACCTGCCCCGCATGCCCTGGGCCATGATCTGGGACTTCACGGAGCCCGTCTGCCGGGGCTGCGTCAACTACGAGGGCGCCGACCGCATCGAGTTCGTGATCGAGACGGCCCGGCAGCTGAAGCGAGCGCACGGCTGCTTCCAGGACGGCCGCTCCCCGGGACCCCCGCCGCCTGTCGGCGTCAAGGCAGTGACGCTGTCCGCCAAAGAAGCGGCGGCAGCGGCGGCGGCCCAGCAGCAGCTCAACCATGTGGATGCCTCTTCCAAGGCAGCCTCGGCGGGCCTGACCCAGTCCAGCCTGGACCGCTACGGGCTCAGCGCCGCCGCAGCGGAGCAGCGCAGCCGTTTCGAGTACCCACCGCCGCCGGGCAGCCTGGGCGGCAGCCACGGCGCCCGTCTACCCAACGGGCTGGGGGGCCCCAACGGCTTCCCCAAGCCGCCTGAGGACGGGCCGCCGGAGCTGAACCGGCAGAGCCCCAACTCCTCCTCCTCCTCTTCCTCCTCCCGCCGCGGGGCGCACGGCGGGCTGGTGTCCGGCCTGCCCCCGGGGGCCGCCGGCGCCCAAATGAACGTGCCCCCAAACCTGCTGCCGCAGACCCTCCTCAACGGGCCCGCCGCCCCTGGCGTGGCGCTGCCCCCGCCGCACGGGGGCCTGAGCGGCCGCGGCGGCGGGGGCCCCCCGGCTCCCTCCGCCTCCTCCCAAGGGGGCACCTGCGGCGGTGGCGCCGGGGGAGGCGGTGGCTCGTCCTCCGAGGCCTGCGGCAAGCGGCCGGGCTCGGTGTCCAGTAGCGACCAGGAGCGGGAGCTGAAGGAGAAGCAGCGCAACGCGGAGGCTCTGGCCGAGCTCAGCGAGAGCTTGCGGAACCGGGCCGAGGAGTGGGCCAGCAAGCCCAAGATCGTGCGGGACACGCTGCTCACTCTGGCCGGCTGCACCCCCTACGAGGTGCGCTTCAAGAAGGATCACGCCCTGCTGGGCCGCGTCTTTGCCTTCGACGCCGTCTCTAAGCCGGGCATGGACTATGAGCTGAAGCTCTTTATCGAGTACCCCAGCGGTTCCGGCACCGTCTTCTCCAGCGCCTCCGGAGTGGCCAAACAGATGTACCAGGACTGCATGAAGGACTTCGGCCGCGGCCTCTCCTCGGGCTTCAAGTACCTGGAGTACGAGAAGAAGCACGGCTCCGGCGACTGGCGGCTCCTGGGGGACCTGCTGCCCGAGTCCGTGCGTTTCTTCAAGGAGCTGGTGGGCGCCGACATGCTGCCGCAGCCCTACTTGGACGCCAGCTGCCCCATGTTACCCACGGCGCTGGTGAGTCTCCCGCGGCCGGGGGCTGGGGCCGGCGGGGCGCAGGGCACGGCCGCCGCCTCCCGGGGACCCGGCGGTGGCGGCGGTGGCGGCGGCGGGGCGATGCGTAAGAGGAAAGCCTCTCCCGAGCCCTCGGACTCGGCTGAGGGGGCTCTGAAGCTCAGCGACGAGCAGCAGCGGCAACAGTGGATGGCCAGCCAGAGCGAAGCGCTAAAGCTCACCATGTCGGCCGGGGGCTTCGGGGCGGTGCACGGCGGGGGGCCCCCGCCGCCGCCGCCGCCGCCCCTCGGGCCTCACTCCAACCGGACCACGCCGCCCGAGTCCGCCCCCCAGAACGGACAGTCCCCTATGGCCGCGCTCATGTCGGTGGCCGACACGCTGGGCAATGCCCACTCGCCCAAGGACGGCAGCTCGGTGCACTCCACCACGTCCACCCGCAGAAACAGCAGCAGCCCTGTGTCGCCGGCCTCGGTGCCAGGCCAGCGCCGCCTGGCCTCTCGCAATGGGGACATGAACCTACAAGTGGCCCCTCCTCCCCCCAGCGCCCACCCCGCCATGGACCAAGTGCATCCCCAAAACATTCCGGACTCCCCCATGGCCAACAGCGGGCCCCTGTGCTGCACCATTTGCCACGAACGCTTGGAGGACACCCACTTTGTTCAGTGCCCCTCTGTGCCCAGCCACAAGTTCTGCTTCCCTTGTTCCAGAGAGAGCATCAAGGCCCAAGGGGCGACTGGCGAGGTCTACTGCCCTAGCGGAGAGAAATGCCCTCTAGTCGGTTCCAATGTGCCTTGGGCGTTTATGCAGGGCGAGATCGCGACCATTTTAGCTGGGGACGTTAAAGTGAAAAAGGAGAGAGACCCTTGAGTAGGAAATCCAATCCCTTCAGACTCCTGAAGATGTAGAATTGTGAATATAACAAACTGCAAAAGTTAGTCTTATGTATAGACATTATTTTCGTCGTATGTTTCTATATTTTGAAACAAAGGTATGTACTCTTCTTCATTTGAAGGATAGAGCTGGTTTTTGTTAAACAGAATATAATATTGTTTGGTTACCACATAATACCTGTTCTCATTTCTTTGGCAGTGTGTTGGCTAGGTACAAAGTTAATAGCCCTTAGCGATTACCTGCTGCTGGTGTGTATTTTTGTAAATGTATGCACTTCTCTGAAAGAAGAAGAAAAAAAACAAAAAAAGAAAAAAAAATTTTTGCCAAGGCCAGTGTTGATGCCTAAAAAATTGCTACAAAAATGGTGACAGCTTATGTTTGACAAGCCCTGAGTGTTAGTCTTTCACCTTCTTTTTTTTTGGTTTTGTTTTTTTTTCTGTTTGTTTGCAAAACGGTGGGGTGGCTCTTGGGGGGGGGGGGGAGGGGTGGTTTTCTGTTGCAAGTTTGTAAGGAAAATGTTTCAGTTTGTTTCTATTGATCTGAACGTTTTTAATCTTCATGTGTTTTTTGTTTTTGCTTTTATTGATGCACGGATGCTTTTGAACAGTAGAGCAAAATGCTGTACATGAAAAACATGCTCTGTTTGTCCTTTATACATTTCTGTAGTTAACAGAACACTGTAATGTGCCTTGGAGCTTAGTAAATTGTAATAAATTCAATTGATATTAATACTTCTGGCGTAGCAAGTTTCATTTTTCTCAGAGCACAGGCAGCATGCATGAGCCATAGTGCCTCTTTAAAAGTTTCCATTACCCCATGAGCCTGCAGTTCCTTGTGATAATTGTGGCACTTGTACACACATTTTCACATACATATATGTAGTAAGATGATGATGCTGTTATCAAACTTATCTAAATCTTGGCACTGCGCCTATTTACATTTCACCTTTAATGTTGCACTAACAGTTGCTGACTAAGCATTTTCTATTTACTGTTTCTGCATCTCATTTCCTCCTCCCTTCTCCCCCCCCAACCCCAGCTCTCCAGCTGCAAACTCTTTGAAATACAGGATGCATCCATTGACTGTGCAATTTAATATGGCTTCAGAACTGAAATGAAGCCCTCTTTCACAAAAAAAAAACCAAACCCAGCGTCACATGGTTAATAACTTTAGTTGATTTTTAGTAGTGTTTGTTTGTCAAAGCTCGACATCAGCCAAAGACTCGTGGTGAGGCAGATCTGTAGTTGAGCACAGTGCAGAAAAGCGGAGTGGGAAATAACAGCTTCTGCAGTTGGTGTTGCAGCTGATGAGTAGCTACCCCATTTAGGCAGTGGCTTTCTGTAACTGAGTTGGTGAACAAGTCAGGGGTTGTTCTGTGTTTTCAGATGAGGAAGCTTCCTTAAAGCACTGAAGTGTAACGCTTTCCTTTTGGCAATGATCATGTGGGATTCTTTGTATAATTAACTATTTTATGTGATATTGGCATTTTCTGGAGATAGAGGAGCAGTGCAATACCTGTTAGTTTATCAACAGGCAAAGTAAATACACACGCCTTATACTAGGTAGAAAATGTAAACAAACCTAATATGAACTTTGTCCTTTCCAGTGAGGCAGGTGGAAGAATGGGAGAAAACCCAAAATCAAACCAGCAGCTCTGCAGAAATCCTTTGCAGTTTGACCAGCAGAACGCAGAGCTGTTCCAAATGCAACAGTGTCATAGGTTGTGAGCGCTGAGTTTTGTTGAAAATTAAGGATCCCTACACTCCCCAAAGCCCCAAAACTGTAAAGAGAGGTGCTTTTTAAAAGTCTGGATGACATTTGGTATCTGCTTGCTCCTGAGACAGCCTGGAGACTATATGCCTTGTGTATCTATGGATCTTTGCTCTCTTGTACACATACTCTGGC